ACAAAAGGTGAGGCATCGAGAAGAGGAACACAATTTAAAATTAAAACTGATGCAGGAAGAGCATACATTGAAGATGACCTTATTAAGGCAAAATAGTTCATCAATAAATGTTGATAGTAATCTGTGAGATATAATAAAATAATTTTATATAATTTCGTTTTTAATTACTTTGTCAGATGTAGCATCAGACAGGCAATGATCAGACTAATACATAGGTGATGTGAACAACAAAAAATATTAAACTAACTAAAGCACAGATCAGAACATAAGTTGAAATTGTATTTAATACATTCAGAACTATAATGTAAAGAATTATATTTATAAAGTTCTATACACCTACAGTATGTAAATTTACAAATTAGCAAAATATGCAATAAATTCATCTCTTGCTCTTCTCAGAATTTCTAAAAATTGTTGAGTCGTGAGCAGAACCGGGCCATCTTGCTACAATATTTATTATTTTTAAATTAGAAGCAGCAATTGTTTGCACATTCAGGGAGAAAAAATTTTTCCGATTGCGATAAATTTCAGCATTTTCTCCACCTGCAAAATTTTCTATACTAATGTCCGTTAACACAAAATACCTTATTAACATACCCGGTGACTTTATTTTGATATGTGTGCAATCTAAAGCACCAACAACTTGTGGGAATCTTGCAAGTTGATAAAAATCTTGCTGCACTGTAGTCATTTCTTCTCCTGTTCGAGGAAATTTAATATACTCTTCTCGCAAATTTGTCACAATAAATTGAAGGTTACAAGAGCTATTGCAAATTTGCGTATATAAATGTGTAATTAAATTCACTTTAACCAAGACTTTTCTTAAAATAAACGACGTTTTTCTTTTACGAAAAAACAAAGAACGATTTGAAATGCAATATACTTTTCACAATCGCACGGAAGAATTAGTTTTGTATGACACGTCAGTTAGATGACAGGTCCGTCAGAAACGCCAACTATTGAAAGTAATTCGAAGTGGCGATTCCCATACAAAATTTTTAGAATTTTTTTATTTTTTAACTGTTCTTTTAAGTTATCCTTATTTTTTTTATTTATAAACCATCCCCGTAATATAAAAAATGTTTCAAATCGGTCAAGCCGTTTTTGAGTCTTAGCGAGACTAACAGGAAGAGCAATTGATTTTTATTTTATTGACGATTAAAAAATGAGGGTTGGTAGTAGAAAGGTGAAAATTTAGGGTTATGTGTATTTTTTGATGCCAATTCTTAAAAAAATAAAAATAAAAAATTTTGTCCAAAAAATAGACAAAAATTTTTTAGGATGGGCCACCCTTATCACTTAGGGGTTTAAAAAATAGTTTACAACCTATTGTCAGACATACCGAATATATATAAAAAATTTCATACAAATCGGTCAACACATTTCGGAGAAGTTCGGTTACAAACACTGTGACGCGAGAATTTTATACATAATGCATTATTATTTTAGAACAAATTTCATTACCATAAAAAAGGTTATACTGAGTCGACCTTAAAAGATAGACATATGCTGTCGCAGACTTTTCTTTAGAACTTTTAGAGGGGAACAATTTTGTCATACATGATTTTTACGTAACTTTAACCGTTTAAGCAGCGTAAGCAACGGAAGCTGTCAAAGGAGGAATAATTTTCCCGTTTTTCCGAATTTTTCATTGCTACTTCGCTCCTATTGATCATAGCGTGATGTTATATAGCCTATATGTAGATATGATACATGGACTATCCAACACAAAAAGATTTTTTGAATTTGAACCAGTAGTTTCTGAGATTAGCGTGTTCAAATAAACAAAAGCTTCAGCTTTATTATATAAGTATAGATAACAATATTCAGATAGAGTTCAAACACGATAAAACTTTTTGTTAACACGGCTGCATCAGCTTTACAATTACCCGTTTATAATTTCCAGCAGCTTCAGCAAATTTCGTTTTTCGTTTGTAAACATGGATTAAAAGGCCACTTTGCTTCATGTTGCTCGTAAAAATTACCGATTGAGAGCAGATGCATCAAACCGGTGCACGTTTTTGTTATTGCTGTTGCAACTAATCCGGGCCCTTTTCGGTATCCGCGCCAGCTGCTCCCGCCCCTTGACCGTGCCGCCACCTACTCGTGTTTGTAGTGCGGATAATCCGTAATCAACGATACATAATGAATAATGTATCTTTCGTGTAATCAGCAACGTCATTAGAGGAAATTATAAACAAGCCTTAATGTATTGGATGTGGGAATATTCGAGTCCGGCTTTGGCATAACGCCGCGATTATCCTAGCGACTGCGCCAGCTCTCTATTAAACCTGCGATATCTCCAGAATAAACACCCCCCCACCTGCGAGTCTTTCCGATCGCCGTCTCGCCCGCCGAAAACATGATTGAATGTAAATCACCCAACATTGAAAAGTTTGCGGCCCATTTTCCACTCGAAATGTAAATCCTCCAACCTCACACGCGCCTCCGAATCATTATTATGGAAATGCGCAAAAAAACTTTCCCAACTTTCCACGTATCCGTAAACTCTCACTTCTCTAGTGTCAGTTAAGCAATCTTTTCTTGTTTTATTCTCGGTCCGGACCGGCGCTTGTTCGTCTAGAGCGTCGTTGATGGATGTCGGTCGATTTTTATCGGCCCTTCCCGACGTAGACGTGCGTCTTTGTGCCGGAAAGTAGTTTGTTGCGTTGCATGGTCGGTACGCAACATATAATCCGACCATTAGTTCGCCCTATCTGCGATCTCTGACGGCATAATAAACACTCCCGGTCGGCCAGAGGGAGACCGAATGACACGCTTCGGACACTTCTTCAAATTTTCGCCAGGTGAGGGTTCAGGGCCGTCACGTGCTCGCTGGGAATAACGCGCTGGCCCCGTGATAAATGAATTCTTGAGAAAACCAGTTTAAAGCGAAGTTTCTCACCCGCTTCGGAAATTCTTGCCGTTTGCTGCGAGTCACGAAAGCCGACTAATGACGTCCAATGGCGGTTATCGGTGATTTTTTAGAGCGGGGGCAGGGCGGGGAAGAGCGCACCCCGGAGAACTATTAACCCGACAGGGGAATTTGCCCAATATTGATCAGGGAAGGGGGAATTTACGTAATATGGTAAAAGTCGGCTGCTAAATTTAACACTACACCCATAGTTTGGTTCACACCACTGAAAGGAAAGCGAACATACCACAAATTTTTCTTAGTGTTTTACCATCGACATGATACGACAGACGACAGGCGACAAACGGAAACGGGGGACCTACTTTTTCATACTCTAGGGTCATAGAACCTTATAATCACAAACTCGACTTGGTTTTCCATTCCAAAGTAAAGCAGGAGTCTTTAAAAGACTAATAAATGATTAAAACAAAACACTAAAAACGAGATACAACTCCATCTGTTCGATAAACCGAGTACAGATAAAAGTAACGTCAATTATAAAGTCGCCTGTAAGAAAACATACATCGGAGAAACAAGTCAATGTTTAAAAAAGGTTGTAGGAACGTAAAAACCTTCATAAAAATCCTTTTGGTATAAGTAAAAATGGCACGCAAAAATTATTAAAATACCCGAATGCATGTAGTCCCGCTTGTTAACTAACACCCATTTAAAAGCCCCCCGCTAAAGCGCCAAGTTAATGACCACTGCGCCACCGCTATCTACGATTTTAAAAATCATAAATAATTCACCCTCGCAGTACATTTCCGAATGTAAGTACTTTCCTACAACATAAACCTCAACGCAAGAATTTATATATTATTTATGCAACCCTTTCGCACCAAGTTTTTGTCCTGAAATATTTGGAGCAGCAGTCACGACTGTAAATTATTCATGAAAAATATCACCGACCGACGAAAGCGTGAAAAGGTCAGCAGACTTTTAACCGCAACTATTTTTAGCCACTTCAAAAAACAGACAAAGACGGACCGGGCAAACTTCATCACAGTTAAATAAAGCCGACAATGACCTTGCCCGATCCATACTACAAACAAAACCTGCCCCTGTGCGCAGTGACGCTTCCGCCCCACGCATATGTTTGATTTTATCTTAATTCGTTGCTGTGTCCCCGATCGTCGAATTAAAGGCCGCCCGATCTGCATGAGCCCTAACGTCTCAATTTGGTAGATTGGGCGAATAATCGAGGCCTGCAAGCGAATGCAGCTTGATCGAACCTGGAGATTTTAATCTTCGCCCCTTCAACATTTATCACTCGTACGAGGTCGTGATGGAAATAGAAACTTGATGGTGAAAGGGTGTGCAAGAATTAACGTACAAATGCGGAGGGTGCATTGTTTAGGGCCTTCGAAACATGGTTATCAGTGTGAAAGGCGCCCGGAGATAAACGCAAATATTGTTTGGATGTAATACAGATTTACAACGTCAAGCCCCATTCAACGAGGAGGTTTTTGTTATTGTAGGGATAAAGAGATTTAACACTCATTTAGTAAAATAGGCGAAATTCCGGCGGTGGGTTAACCCCGACGGGGATTTTTATATGCATGTAGTGATAAATCCGGGCAAGTACTCCCTTCGATTACGTTATTAAGGGGGATACAGACGCTGATTAAAAAGCTATCGGAGAGCAAGCCTCCACTGAGAGCCCCTATCGATTAAACGAGGCGTTTTTGTTTCGCGAATAAAAGTCAGCGTTATCCAAACGACTGCGCCATTTTTGTGTGTGTGTATTTTTTTCGGATTTCTGTCGTTGTCTCGTCACGATCGACAAATTCGCTGTCGCTTAGCGAAATAGGCGGAATCCGATCGAAACGGTTAAGCTCGTGTAATTTTTTCAACCGTAAGATGGGGTGCATTTGCGATAAGGGTAGGAAAAACAAAAGCCGAAAGCCAGTTTAAGCCGGATGATTTATGGCGGGGACTGTCGAGATTGCAACAAATCAGGACACGTCAAAACATTTTGTTTGCTGCACTAGAGAGTGGTTTCATTTACATAAATTTCAACATATTCCGACTCACTCTATTAAACCGCAGCAGGGAGATAAATTCCGCAATTATGGTTAATACTCACCGATTTACGGAGCAAATTCACTACAGACGCTTCCTAGACGCCATTTTCCTCCTGGAACAAAACAAATCGTCGTTTTATAACAACAGCCGGCTTGTCGTCTTATTAGAACTATCACAGATTGGATTAAATTAGTTGCACAATATTTGTTTTCGTAAAGGCAACATTTGTGGTTCTTTACTTTCGCCTTTGATAAAAGCGAACAAAAGCAATTTCGTTCTACATTCCACTTTGAATCTTTTTCTATTAACCGCCTTAGCATTTTATTATGCTCCAACGACGACAGCCGCGAACACTCATCAACCACGAGTATGGAAAAAATACGTCGGTGGCAATTTAGTCGAGAGACGCCGCGGAAAAAATTGGACCGGCAGCGACAAGTCTGACAAAAGAAGTGAAGTGCCTTTTAGCATCCAGGGCTCTTTATTTAAGGCCTTGTATCTACAAAGCAAAGTTAGAGGATTTTTATACAATGACGAATCAATGCATTATCCCGCCGACTGCGCCAACTTTACACACCTTTAGTGGCGTGCCGCCCGTAAAAGCAAACAAATCCATACGATTTGCTCTACACCTAATTTTCAAATAAAGTAGATAATTACTTTAAACGCTCGCTAATTTGCAATTACACAACGTTAATGGAGAATTCGTTAATTCGAGGGCGACGCCGAAACTATCAAATCTGGGAACACCCTCACAACCATCGCAATAATCTATAACCTTGGGGTCTTGGCAATATGATACCCGCTATAAGGGCGCTTGGACCATTATCGTTATTGTTATTGCACATCGTGCACTACATAGCTGTCCGTCAGCTTTACCAGGCCTCCGCCTTTCATGTAATTAATTAATTCGACTCGTGCGAGCAGGAAACGCACATCGGGCTTTCTTGTCTCCCTCGAAAAATCTACAGCAACTGGACTTCCCAGGCAACATGATGTCGTCTTTTTCACGTGAATAAATGGTCATCATTTACGTCATAGTGACCAAAGATTTCACGTGATATTGACGTACCAATGACGGTCAAATGTCTCGTCCAGATGACGTCATTTTCTAACGAACTATTGACGTGATGTACTGACGTCTTAGAGTCGTCATTTTGTAACGAACTATTGACGTGATTTACTGACGTCCTAGAGACGGCATGTATTGTCCATTTTAAGACGTTTTTTTATTTTGATTTTTAGAAAAAAATATGCAATAAATAAAACGCCGAAATAATTTAATTTTTTTATATTGTTTACCTTAAATAAAATATTATAATTCGTTATAATCACCAGCTAAAGCCCAAAACAAAGTATATATTAATTAAAGTTAAAACAAATTAGTGTAAACAAATTAGTGTAAACAAATTAAATTTACTACAATTCTGTACAACCAACAATGTACTTCAATAAACAAATTAAAAATATGTCAATTAAACAAATTAAAGATAAACCACTCCTAAGAACACAAACAAATCTACATACAAGTAATTACGAGTATAATTAGTATAAACAAAAAAAAAAGGATAATGTACAATATACAATCAAAAATAAACGTTGCAATAAAATATGCTATGCTATTTAAAGAAAAATCAGTTTTAAAAACACAAAGAAATCTATTTAGTTACAAAGAATATTAAAAGAAAACTATAATAAACTATAGATCAGTCTTAAAAACACAAACAAATTTATTTACAAAAAATATTAAAAATAAAACTAGAATAAAGGGAAAAGACAATTGAATCGCATTGTTGAAGTTACTTGATTGAAAATACACTGTAAAACCACAGTATATGTAAAACTATCTAATTCACGACGACTTGACTGTCCCCAACACACAAAAAAGTACCGTTAAGAATTAATTCTGTTTTAACAATCATATCAATAACCTAAGTTTTTTAAGTTTGCCTCAATTTATTGCACTGAAAAGATAAACCCGTTAGAGTGCATAGATTAATGGAAATGCAATCATTTTTCGTCTATGGGCAATAGCAAGCATTTGGTTATTATTAAATTTAAGGGATTACAGCTTAAAACAGAAGACAAATTTTGCATTTTAAAAATGCTAAATTTACTTGAATCTAACGGATAATCGTAAAATGGTTGCATTGACAAAAATTGGTCTAAAGAGTTTAGGCAGTACTTCCCTCGCTGTCGGAAACTTGACGACTGCATGCCTATTGTGTTTTTTTCTCATTACATTTTTGTAGTGGGAATTTAAAAAAAATTGCGATGACGTCATCAACATTTTTGCAAGGACACGTATATCAGTTGGGATGGATGTAGTGTAATACTAAGAATAAAATTATTGTATTCCCAAATTTTCGGGAAAATGAATTGGGTCGTTTTGAATATTGATTTTTTATAATCAATAAAATAACGAAACAATTTACTCACGTATACGGCAACTGAAAATCGTTTATGTATAAACATTCTTAATTTAAGATGACAAGCGTAACAGCATACGTGAGAGGCAAACAGAGAAACTGTAAACAAAACGACCATCGGTTTTATTGCTTCGACTTCCGCTTATTATATAAAACATTGGGTTTTATTTTAATTCTTGACGGTGAAATTCACAATTGGTTGATTATAAACATGTCTATTTCACATTCGCGGAACCAAGTGAACGAATAAAACAAATGCAGGTCTGTAATGTTAAAGTCGATGTAAATAAGCGTGCTACCCTTATGTTTCAACCGAGTTTTTCCTTTAACAAATTTTGTGTCTACCAAATTGGGTTGGTTGGGGTGTAATACTAATAATAAGTGTTGCCTTTAATTTAATCAATAAAATAAATTGACTTCATTAATTTTTTTGAACCACCTCTTAAGAAAATCTAAAAAATATGAATGGAATGATAAATCACAAGTACAAACTCATCATATTTTTTGCATTTTAGATAGGATTTATTCAGCAAAATTTAAGGGTGACGTCATCAATTTTTTTAGGAGGGATGAACAAATACATTTTGAACAAAAGTTTACCATGCTTATAATAACTTTAAAATATTCCCAAGATTTCAAAGCATTCGGTTTTGTAATTCCTGATTAAATCGATAAAATAAATTCACGCCTTCATTAATTTTTTTGAGTCACCCTGCATATGAAAATCCAAAAATATGAATGGAATGATAAATCACAAGTACAGACTCATCATATTTTGTACATTTTAGATACGATTTATTCGGCAAACTTTTGAGCTGACGTCATCAAGTTTTTGGAGGGGATAAGCAAATATATTTTGACTAAACATTTATTATGCTCTTTATGACCTTAAAACATCTGCAAGATTTCAGAGCATTCGGTTTTGTAGTTCCTGGTTAAATCAATAAAATATATTTACGCATTCATTAATTTTTTTGAGTCACCCTGTATATGCAAATCAAAAAAATATGAATGGAGTGATAAATTACAAGTACAGACTCATCATATATATATTCTGGTTAGCAGATTAAAAATTAAATTTCAAAATGTTGTTTTATAATTTTGATTTTTTTTTCCAAAAATCTGGACGTTTCGGGTGAAAAGTCGATTCAGAGTTGTAAACTACATGTGTAGGACTATGTTATTTTATACAATTGAAAACCCATTTACTATGTACAATTTTGAAGTGACGTCATCGCATTAGTGGTGGGGATGATTAGACAAATTTTGGTTAGCGTTTTACCATCTACATGATATTCTTAATATAAGTACAAAATTTCACAACAATCGGTCGAGTACTTTCGGAAATTATCTGTCCGGGACGGCAGACGGACAGACGGACGGACAGACGGACGGACAGACGGACAGACGGACAGACGGACAGACGGACAGACAGACGGAAATGGGAGACCTATTTCTTCGTCTTCTAGAGGTCATGAAAGATCGAGAAAACGTAAAAGTAGAGAGTCGGCCGACGGACTCGATTACAATACTTCCTTTGCTTACGCTCGGGAAGTAAAAACGTACAGCCTATCAGGAAAATCTCGTTGTCAATACTTTTTACAATGAAGCGAAATGTGTATGTGTAAATACATACTAAGTTACCAAAAAGTATCGTAGTATTACAGGCATCTACCTGTATATAATATCCAATATTATGTTATACAGTAATGTTCGGTTATAACGAACCTCATGGGACTGGGAAAAGTAGTTCGTTATATCCGAAGTTCGTTATAAATGATCTCAAAAAAATCATTATATACTTTCATAAACTGAACTATGTATTTCAGGATGCAACATTTAAAAGTATTACAAAAATATAAACATGTAAAGATAATAATACAGTAGTACATATAAGAAAAAAAAAACTTGATTAATAAAAAGTTGATTAAAAATAAAAGTTGTTACTTAATTATAATCTCAAATTTTACGTTGCTTCTTGTGAGAAAGATTAATTTAAGAGGGTTTTGTGATCGTTCCCTTTTTCTTCTTCTTCTTCTTCGTTATCATCATCGTCTTCAGTCTCATCTTTTGTTTGAATGTTGCATTGAACTAATTCTACAATAGCAGCATCATCCAAAATTTCAGACTTCACTAAAATATCGTCAAAAGGGACGTATTCTCCGAAGTTGATATCAAATTCATCGTCAGAATTGCTTTCGTGCTTTCTCAGCCATTCAGCCAATAGTAGCTCGTCTTCTGGGGTGGGATTTTGTTTCTATAACGATAAAATATCGGTACCGAGAAAATGTAGTCGTCTTTTTCTTTCGCATCTGAAATTTATATTTTCGTCTTTGTCATTTATCGCTTCGTATCATATCGTATCGGTAGAAACAAAATCCCACCCCTGGTTCAAATTTTTCCTCACACTGGAGAAACCCAGCATGTCGAAAACAATTAGTAATTGTTTGTTCTGATACTTTTTGTCATGCCATACTGATAAAATTGACGGGATCTAATAGATTCATACAAAAGTGTTCCTGACCATTGTCGAGATAAAGCTGACTGGTGAAAAAGTTCGTTATAAACGATTTTTTTTTCTTAAATATTAAAAATTTGGTTCGTTTTATCCGAAAGTTCGCTATAAGCGCGTTCGTTATAATAGGAAAAAAATAACACGTATCTTATGGTACTTCAATTCGTA